ATAGAGAAACCTATACTTTTTAGAATGTTTAGACAAAAGAATAAAATTGGCATTTCCTGAAGAATGTAGGAGAAAAAGTCATGAAAATAGTAATCACAGAGAAGAGGTTTAAGGAAAAAAAATACAGGAAATAGTCACAATAATGAAAGTAGTTAATTTGGAATATTAAACTTTTGGATAATTTTTTTAATTTTGTTTTAGTAGGATTTAATTAAATTGTTTATAAGTGTTTAATAAAACACAGATACAGCTTCCTCTGCTTATTTCTAGACATATACATTGTACATCCAATTTGATTACAGTGGTCATCTCAGTACGAGAATCTATGACAAACGAAATTATTTCAATTTTTAAATTAAAAATTGTCCACATCTTTAAGCATCAATATACCAACTGCACCTGTGTATTGAGTATACATCAATCAGTGTCTGAACAAAAAAAAGAAATGTTTGATGTCATTATCTGTTCAGATATTAAACAATAGATAGAAAATTTAAAGAGTAAATAGAAGCAAGTAAATTATAATAAAATGTAGTTGTTTGACAAGAATTTAGGACAGAAATGCACAGGATAAAATGTCACAATTAAGTTTTGAGATCTAATTTTTCTTTTAAGAAGAAAAAACTAAGTCTTATTTAAAAAAAAGTTTGTATTTTTCTTGAACTATTATATATAAACCAACTTTGTAATTAAAATTTATTTGATAAATATCAATAATGATCAAATAATTGTTAAGAAAACAAAATGTCAAAATGGCTCAATTGGTACATAAACGGCTTCATGGTGCCAAGAAATATATCATTTGCATGATTAAAATTTAATAAATTTTCTTTTAACAAGGCTTATAAACAATTTCCTAAACAGAGAAATGAATATATGTAACATACATTTAAATAATTTTGACAAACTACCAATTGATAAATTACAACACAATATGTTGAAATCTATTCTGGGGGTCAAAAGACAGTCATCAAATATGGCTAGTAGACTTGAATGTAACAGGAATCCAGTGTTGATTTTCTCAATTATGTTTAATGTATAACTATTATATGAGACTACTTAAAATAAGAAGAGATAGAATATTATATAGTGTATTTACTGCAGATCAAAAATTATCTAAAGAAAACTCAAAATGCTGGTTTTCTACCCTAAATAAAGTATTTAAAGTACTTAAACTTGATACAAAAAATTTGACAAATAATAGTGTTTTTAAAAATAGTCTAATAAGATATTATAATCAGCAATCTGACTCACAACTACAAAAAATCAAATCTAGAGATGTGGACAGTAAACTGATGTTTTTCAGTAACATTTTTATTCCAAATTTTGTTCCCTACTATCTTCAAACCAATCTTACCAAAAAAATAAAAAGTAAAATTACACAACTATGTATCAGTGCTCATTGTTTAAATATAGAACAGGGTAGATATAATAAACCCAAAATTCCAAGAGAACAACGTTTTTTCAAATTTTGCACTGAAGTTTAGACAAAAGAACATTTTTTGATATCTTGTGATTAATATAAAGTTATAAGGCAAACTTTTTTCCAATCTTAGATCTTAGATTTGAAAGATTCACATAATTATTTTTCAGTTTTCAAACTTTTAAATCCACAAAATACTACTGAATGTAATTATTTATACAAATTTATTAGAGATGCATAAGAAATAAGAAACAATTCTTAAAATTATGTGTACAATTGTATTACATGTATATATATAGTACATGATCTACATGTGAAACTTTGAAATGTTGTTTTGTATATTATCATATGATTTGTAATGGAGAACACTTATGCACTTTTAGTTATCTTAATAAAGAATCTAATCTAATCTAATGTAATAAAAATTTGTAAGGGTTCCACGGAACCCAGTGTCTCGCCTACTTTAGCTGTTAGTCGCAGGTTCAACAAAAATGGGGAAACAATTATTTAAAATTTTGCTCTAGATACTATTTTTGATTATAACAAGCTTCTGTCCAAGTTTGGTAAACGTCCAGGATGATTTATGAATCTAATAAATGTTTTAAAAACTTTAACTGCAGACTGTATGTAATGTTAACTGGAAGAAAAACCAAGTCCATTTATAAGTAATATACGGAAAAACAGGAAATAAATTTTTACAACATTTTCTTCTGGATACTAGCTTTTGATCATAAACAAGCTTCTGTCCAAGTTTTGTGACAAATCCAGGATAGTTAAAGAAAGTTATCAAAATTTTTAAAACTTTAACCACAGAGTAAATGTAATGTTAACTGGAAGAAAAACTAAGTCTATTTATGAGTAAACTAAGGAAAAACAGGATTTTTTTTTACAAAGTTTACTTCTGGATACTATCTTATGATCATAAACAAGCTTCTGTCCAAGTTTGGTAGAAATCCAGTATAGTTTAAGAAAGTTATTAAAGTTTTTAAAATTTTAACGACGACGACGGAATGTAGGATCGCTATGTCTCGCTTTTGCGACAAAAGTCGCAGGCTCGACAAAAAGAAAATATTCAAAGATCTTTCTCTTGTATATATGTTGTCTGTTCTACGGTCGGGTTGTTGTCTCTTTGACACATTCCCCATTTCCATTCTCAATTTTATATATATATATATATAAGAAAAAGTTAAGTAGAATCCGTATGCTGGTAACATATAAGAAATATATATATATATATGTAAAGTCTAAATTGAAAACGACGTTCAAACCTATGATTGTGTTGGATAAAAACCGCAATTTTTATATCGTGTGCATGCAAAACAAATTTCTTGGTAGAGGGGTCTAAATACAGCACAAACAACATTTTCCAAAAGACCAAAAAAGTGAAAAAGTATATTTAAACAAAACGCATTTGACTAACAGGTCGAACAATGGATGTTCCTAAACCCTGCTGCCTGCCATTGGCGATTGCCAAATAAACGGATCACAAGATGTAACAAAATGGATCTTTATTATTAATTAAATACCAAACAGAAAACAATAAACTTGCGGAAAAGATGGTATACCACAAACATGAGGTGCAAAAATTTTTACGCCATATCCGGATTTCGACAATTAATGTCTCTTCAGTGATGTTAGGAATCGAAACAGTATTTGGAAGGCCTTATAATTTACATCAATTTAGGATAGACTCTTGAAATTTGAAGAGTAGAAATAGGATGAACGGACCATATAAACCCGAAGGCAAATATAATACAAGCCCAAATGAAAAAATATAAATAAAGTCTAAATTGAAAACAACGTTCAAACCTATGATTGCGTTGGATAAAAACCGCAATTTTTATACGACCGCCAAAAATTTTTGTGGTCGTATATTGGTATGACGTTGGCGTCGTCGTCGTGCGAAGACACATTGGTTTTCGCACTCTAACTTTAGTTTAAGTGAATGGATCTCTATGATTTTACCATAAGGTTCAATACCACAAAAGGAAGGTTGGGATTGATTTTGGGGGTTATGGTACCAACAGTTATGGAATAAGGGGCCAAAAAGGGGCCAAAAATAAGCATTTTTGTAACTTCCAGACATAACTTGTGTGTTAGTGTATGGATCTCTCTGACATTGCACCACAAGGTTCCATATCACAAAAGGAATGCTGGGATTGATTTTGGGGGTAGTTGCCTCAAAATTTTAGGAATTAGGGGCCAGAAAGGGGCAAAAAACAAGCATTTTTCTAGTTTCATGACAATAACTTGTGTGTAAGTCTATTGATCTTTCTGAAATTGTACTACAAGGTTCCATATCACAAAGGAAAAGCTGGAATTGAGTTTGGGGGTAATTGCCCAAAACGTTTAGGAATAAGGGGCCAAAAAGGGGCCAAAAATAAGCATTTTTCTAGTTTCTAGACAATAACTTGTGTTCAAGTGTATGGTTCCCTCTGAAATTGTACTGCAAGGTTCCATATCACAAAGGGAATGTTTGGATTGATTTTGGGGGTAATTGCCTCAAAATTTTAGGAATTAGGGGCCAAAAACAAGCATTTTTCTAGTTTTATGACAATAACTTGTGTGTTAGTCTATGGATCTTTCTGAAATTGTACTACTATGTTCCATATTACAAAGGGAAAGCTGGAATTGAGTTTGGGGGTAATTGCCCAAAACGTTTAAGAATAAACTTGTGTTCAAGCATATGGATCTCTCTGAAATTATACTGCAAGGTACCATACCACAAAGGGAAGGCTGGGATTGATTTTGGGGGTAATTGCCTCAAATCCCTATGCATGTATCCATTGTAACCTGACTTCCCCATTTATGTAACCATTGTAACCTGACTTTCCCATGAATGTAATCATTGTAACCTGATTCTCCATGTATGTAACTGTTGTAACCTCATTTTCCATGTATGTAACCATTGTAACCTGACTTCCCCATGCATGTAACCATTGTAACCAGCAATCCCCATGCATGAAACCATTGTAACCTGACTTCCCCAAGCATGTAACCATTGTATACTGATTTCCCCTGCATGTAACCATTGTAACCTGACTTCCCCATGCATGTAACCATTGTAACCTGACTTTCCCATGTAGCTAACCATTGTAACCCTCATTATCTATGTATGTTACCATTGTAACCTGATTTCCCATGAATGTAACCATTGTAACCAGCAATCCCCATGTATGTAACCATTGTAACCTGATTTCCCATGCATGTAACCATTGTAACCAGCAATCCCCATGTATGTAACCATTGTTACCTGATTTCCCATGCATGTAACCATTGTAACCAGCAATCCCCATGTATGTAACCATTGTAACCCTCATTCTCCATGTATGTAACCATTGTAACCTGATTTCCAATGCATGTAACCATTGTAACCAGCAATCCCCATGTATGTAACCATTGTAACCTGATTTCCCATGCATGTAACCATTGTAACCAGCAATCCCCATGTATGTAACCATTGTAACCCTCATTCTCCATGTATGTAACCATTGTAACCTGATTTCCCATGCATGTAACCATTGACATTGTAACCTAACTTCCCCATGCATGTTACCATTGTAACCTAATTCTCCATGTATGTAACCATTGTAACCTGATTTCCAATGCATGTAACCATTGTAACCTAATTCTCCATGTATGTAGCCATTGTAAACCTCATTCTCCATGTATGTAACCATTGTAACCTGATTTGCCATGCATGTAACCATTGTAACCAGCAATCCCCATGCATGTAACCATTGTAACCCTCATTGTACATGCATGTAACCATTGTAACATGACTTCCCCATGCATGTAACCATTGTAACCTGATTTCCCATGCATGTAACCCTCATTGTACATGCATGTAACCATTGTAACCTGACTTCCCCATGCATGTAACCATTGTAATCTGATTTCCCATGCATGTAACCATTGTAACCAGCAATCCCCATGTATGTAACCATTGTAACCCTCATTCTCCATGTATGTAACCATTGTAACCTGACTTCCCCATGCATGTAACCATTGTAACCAGCAATCCCCATGCATGTAACCATTGTAACCTGACTTCCCCATTTATGTAACCATTGTAACCTGACTTTCCCATGAATGTAACCATTGTAACCTGATTCTCCATGTATGTAACTGTTGTAACCTCATTTTCCATGTATGTAACCATTGTAGCCTGACTTCCCCATGTATGTAACCATTGTAACCAGCAATCCCCATGCATGTAACCATTGTAACCTGACTTCCCCATTTATGTAACCATTGTAACCTGACTTTCCCATGAATGTAATCATTGTAACCTGATTCTCCATGTATGTAACTGTTGTAACCTCATTTTCCATGTATGTAACCATTGTAACCTGACTTCCCCATGCATGTAACCATTGTAACCAGCAATCCCCATGCATGTAACCATTGTAACCTGACTTCCCCAAGCATGTAACCATTGTATACTGATTTCCCCTGCATGTAACCATTGTAACCTGACTTCCCCATGCATGTAACCATTGTAACCTGACTTCCCCATGTATGTAACCATTGTAACCCTCATTCTCTAAGTATGTTACCATTGTAACCTGATTTCCCATGAATGTAACCATTGTAACCAGCAATCCCCATGTATGTAACCATTGTAACCTGATTTCCCATGAATGTAACCATTGTAACCAGCAATCCCCATGTATGTAACCATTGTAACCTGATTTCCCATGCATGTAACCATTGTAACCAGCAATCCCCATGCATGTAACCATTGTAACCCTCATTCTCCATGTATGTAACCATTGTAACCTGATTTCCCATGCATGTAACCATTGTAACCAGCAATCCCCATGTATGTAACCATTGTAACCTGATTTCCCATGCATGTAACCATTGTAACCCTCATTCTCCATGTATGTAACCATTGTAACCTGACTTTCCCATGCATGTAACCATTGTAACCTGATTTACCATGCATGTAACCATTGTAACTCAACTTCCCCATGCATGTAACCATTGTTACCTGATTCTCCATGTATGTAACCATTGTAACCCGACTTCCCCATGCATGTAACCATTGTAACCTGATTTTACATGAATGTAACCATTGTAACCTGATTTCCCATGCATGTAACCATTGTAACTCAACTTCCCCATGTATGTAACCATTGTAACCTGACTTCCCCATGCATGTTACCATTGTAACCGGATTTCCCATGTATGTAACCATTGTAACCTGACTTCCCCCATGTATGTAACCATTGTAACCTGACTTCCCCATGCATGTTACCATTGTAACCTGATTTCCCATGCATGTAACAATTGTAACCAGCAATCCCCATGTATGTAACTATTGTAACCTGATTTCCAATGCATGTAACCATTGTAACCTGACTTCCCCATGCATGTAACCATTGTAACCAGCAATCCCCATGCATGTAACCATTGTAACCAGCAATCCCCATGCATGTAACCATTATAACCTGATTCCCCATGTATGTAACCATTGTAACCCTCATTCTCCATGCTTGTAACAATTGTAACCTGACTTCCCCATGCATGTAACCATTGTAACCTGATTTCTCATGCATGTAACCATTGTAACCCGATTTCCCCATGTATGTAACCGTTGTAACCTGACTTCCCCATGCATGTAACTGTTGTAACCTGATTTCCCATGCATGTAACCATTGTAACCTGACTTCCCCATGCATGTAACCATTGTAACCAGCAATCCTCATGTATGTTACCATTGTAACCTGATTTCCCATGCATGTAACCATTGTGACCTGATTTCCAATGCATGTAACCATTGTAACCAGCAATCCTCATGTATGTAACCATTGTAACCTGATTTCCCGTGCATGTAACCATTGTAACCAGCAATCCCCATGTATGTAACCATTGTAACCTTCATTCTCCATGTATGTAACCATTGTAACCTGACTTTCCCATGCATGTAACCATTGTTACCTGATTCTCCATATATGTAACCATTGTAACCCTCATTCTCCATGCATGTAACCATTGTTACCTGACTTCCCCATGCATGTAACAATTGTAACCTGATTTCTCATGCATGTAACCATCGTAACCCGACTTCCCCATGCATGTTACCATTGTAACCCGACTTCCCCATGCATGTAACCATTGTAACCCGACTTCCCCATGCATGTAACCATTGTTACCATCATTTTCCATTTATGTAACCATTGTTATCCCCAAACCATATGTATTTTATAATTGAAACCTGACTTCCACATGCATGTAACCATTGTAACCTAACTTCAATGTGTATGTAATAATTGTAATAGCTCTACCCCTACCTATTCAGTTTGCAGCAGAAATGGTCAATTATAAAGCCGGTATTGCATATCATTTAGTAAAGGTCCATGTGTGTAACCAATGTAACCAATGTAACCATTGCTTCAATGGGGGTAACAAAACAAGATACCTATATTCAGGTGCACATTTTGTGCCATATCTAGATTTACCATAGTGTTCATAATACAAAAGCGATAGACTTTTGATCCAAGGTGCTAGCTTTGGGTGAGGAATACGAAATGCTATCATGTGTGCTGCCTCATCATACAAATGTGTATCAATTTCTTCAGTAAGAGCACGCTTGCCTTTGGAACCAGATGGTACATTGAATTTCGGTCAAAATTTAGACGACTTTGTAAATATGAAGAAAAAACATATAAAAGAAAAATATGCTCTGAACTCAGTAACACCTGTGAAAAGAATCCCAAGGTTTTCTGGAAGATTTTGAACAAACTTAGTAAGCAGTCAGAAGTAAAAGATAAATCTGCTAAGATTTTATTAAATTTTATAAAAATCTTAACAAGTCTGATCATGAGTATAATGATCACCAAAGCAATGTAGTACACAAATTTGAATCACTAAAAGCTAATTTAAATTATTCTGTTATATCAGATGAAATAAACACAGAAATAAATACAGATGAAATAGTAAAAGCTATAAGATTGCTCCGTAATGGTAAGAGTTCATCTGCTGATATGATCTCAAATGAAATGTTGAAAAATGTTATACCAGTATTAATTAAACCACTTCATAAATTATTTAATTTTATTTTTACTAGTGGAAATTTTCCAAAGACCTGGAATGAAAGTTTTCTAGTTCTTCTCCACAAAAAGGGAAACAAATTTGACCCTGGAAATTATAGGGGCATATCCATCAGTTCCAACCTTGGCAAGCTGTTTAATAAAGTTATCTATAACAGACTTATGAACTTCATAAATAGTAAAAACTTAATCAGCAAAAATCAGATTGGTTTTAAAGAAAATAGTCGCACTGCTGATCACATATTTACACTAAAATCAGTAATTGATCATTATAAACAACAAAACAAAAAGGTTTTTGCAGCTTTTATCGATCTCAAAAAAGCCTTTGACACAGTTTGGCGAATAGGATTGTTTTATAAACTTTTGATACACGATATTCAAAATAGAATTTTTAGAATTGTTTATTCAATGTATACTGACTCAGTATGCAGAATCAAGTTTTCAAATGGACTCAGTTCAGCATTTTTATCTGAGCGAGGAGTAAAACAAGGAGATGTACTGAGCCCTGTACTTTTTAATTATTATATTAATGACCTCACTCATGATTTAATCAATTATAATTCTGATCCCGTTGTAATTGGGGACTTTTCTTTAAATATTCTTCTTTATGCAGATGATATTGTTTTATTGTCTGAAAGTAAAAAAGGACTACAAAACAGTCTTAATGCTTTATATGATTATTGTGACTGTTGGAAACTACAAGTTAACACAGATAAGTCCAAAGTTATTGTATTTAATTCAAATGGTAAAACTTTTTTGGACGAATTTACTTACAATGATTCTTGTATTGAAACTGTTAGTCATTACTCTTATTTAGGTATTGTAATAAAATGTAATGGTAATTTCAATTTAGCCATTAATACTCTTATGGAAAAGGCAAGAAAAGCCTATTTCAAAATAAAGAAAACTGTTGGTCTGAATAATCCATGTAGACTACTTGAAAAAAAACTGTTTGATACATTAATATCACCTATACTTATGTACTGTTGGGAAATTTGGGGTCTTACTCATCCTTAAGAGACTCTGAACCTTTTGAAAAACTACACATTAAATTTATCAAAGAAGCACTTGGTGTTCATTGCAAGGCTTCAAATGATGCTTGTCGTGCTGAGCTTGGTCGAATTCCACTCAAAAATAAAATTATATTTTCAAGCATAAATTTTTTAGAGCATATACTTTCATCAGAAAATACACTTGTAAATCAAATTTTCTGTGCAACAAGGTTGTCAAACCCCTGGATCAAAAAAACTAAATGCACTTTACAAAAATTAGGATATTCATATCTTGTAGAAAAAAGTTGTTTAACAAAGCAGCACTTGGGACAAGTAAAACAAAGAATTTATGATCAGTGCTTGCAAAATCAAAATGCAAACATACAGGAATCTTCTAAACTCAGTTTCTTTCGTCGAGTCTACAAAATGGGTCAAAGACCATCATATGTTGATTCACTAAACAATGTAAATGATAGAGCAGCAATATGCAAAATACGCATAAGTGCACATTCTTTAATGATTTGCCCCCGAAGGGTGACTGGGGAATAGAAGTATGGTCACCATTGGTCTTCCTCCGACCGGCAGTAAAACCCGTGCTAAAGTGGGGCGTCCGTTTGGCTGTGCGGGATGTACAAATTTGCAGCCACGTCCGGTCAGAATGGGGACGTTAAATCCGATGCCTCGTGTAAAGAGAGTGCCACGCTCTTTGCACGTTAAGAACCCTTGCAACAACTCTTTGAGGGGTCCGTAGGTGACCTGTTGGAAGGCTAAATTTCTGTCCCTATCCAATATACCCTCATTTCCCGTGGCAGTCTAAATTTTTCCGACCTTAACCCCTTAATCTATTACAGAACCTACCTATTGTATTTATTGTGAACTTGTTCTCGTCCTGAATATGCATGAAATATTTGCCACTGGACGTTAAGCAACCAACAATCAATCAATCAATCTTTAATGATTGAAAGGGGAAGACATCTTAACATTCCTAGAGAGGAAAGATACTGTCCTGTCTGTAAAAATGGGGAAATTGAGGATGAAAAACATTTCTTATTACAATGTAATAGATTTACCTCAAAACGAGAAATATTAGAAAATAAAATAAATGTTATATTTAAAATACAGCGTAACATTACCACTAATGATAAAATATCTCTATTGGTTAACAATAGCTCAGCATTATTACTAAGACTGTCTTCCTCTTTCATATCAGAGTGTCTAAATATAAGAAATAGTGAAGTAATATGAATCACCAATATGTAACTTTTCATTCTATAATGATATGTTATCATGTAATTTTTCATTCTACCATGTCAATTAATATAATTATATGTATGCAATAGGTCTTAACCATTTATTGTTAATGAGTTTGTGCCAATAAAATATTTGTATTTGTATTTGTATTTAATGTAACATCGAAATTACACCCTTCCGATTGAAGAAATTAACATTACCGTACCAAATACACTATATCGTAAAATAACTTCGTCGTGTCTTGTTCTTGGGTTATACATTTAAATATTATCAAATGGAATCTTTACTTTGTGAATGTACAATGTGAGATCGAAATATGGACCCTCGTAGGGCCTCTAACATTCAGCATAACCGGTTTTGCTAAATCAATCACAATCAAGCAATAACAAATAAGGAACCGTTTCAATTATGTTATTTATTGTTATAAATTGAATTTATGAAAAGGCATTGTTTTGAGTTCAGAGTTGTCGGGTCTATAGAGAAATAGCTTGTAACCTATATTGAAAAAATAACTTTGTCGTTTTTAAATTTAACTTTTAATAACTGGCAAGGTACAGTGTGAGATCGAAATATTCACCCTCGTGGCGCCTCTTAATTTCAGCATAACCGGTTTTGCTGAATACATCTGTTAAAGAAAATAAAACACTTTATATATTAGGACAAAATTGGTCATATTGTAGCGATTGTGGATGGGCGTGCAATGCAATTATTACCTGAATATCTATAGTTCTAGAATAACTAAGCTAATATAACACAACTTTGCAGTCTGTGTCGAAGGCGAAGTGTCTTGTTTGAAGCTTGGAATAGAAGTGAGACTCTGCCTGGTTCCTTGTTTTTGGTCTGTTTTTTCTATCCGTTTTCCCGTCATATATAGAGTAAGGATAGACTTGTCTAGTTACCGGTTGCAGATATCATATTTCTCCTATATTGGAGAACCGCTGAAGCGGTGTACCAACCATCCAACGGCACCACACTCCTCCCCGTTTTCTAGAGAAAAAAACTCCAATGATCTTGGTTTGTTCGCCATGAGCAAATTTGTTGACAATTAAAAGTAATAACATATATACTAATATCTTAAACCAATTACAAACCAGTTAATCCGGTTAGATGTAAAAGACTGAAACCAAGAGTGCACATCAATGTGACACTATTTAATCAAATATATATTATTTAGAAACATTACAAATTGTGTTTAAAACTGCCAATCACTGTGAAATTATGAAAAGAAAGTATAAAAATTACTGCCCATAATTACTTCAAACCCAATCCCCTTAACAACCTTAAATCATTTAAGCATTTGTTGAAGTAGTGGCCAAAACTTCTTCAATAGGTATCAGTAATAATCTTGAAAATTCATGAGCTACAAAGATAACAGTGTATGGGTTGGCAAGTTGTTCCTTGTAGCGGATATATGGAGCATCAGATTCTAGAAATTTTTGTTGCAGATGAACTGTTTGATGGAGGGATATTTGTCAGTAAAGATGAATGGTGTAACGCCAAATTCAATATTCGAAAAATGTGAAGATGCAGATTCAAACATTTGTTCTGTTCCTGTTAAACAATGGCTATGAATTGTGTGATTTTTAGGTAGGTTATTGACCATGGAGGTTTAAGTTGAGAGATTGAGGTTGTTATCTCCTCTGCTGTGGATAACATAATTATGTCTATCGGTAGTATCCAAGCCACATTCTCCTACTGATACAGTTTTTGAAGATGCCAAAATGAAAGTTAAAATTAAAGAACATGTCTAAAAATGTGGTAGAATTTGAGTTCACATTTTCTGGGTGGATTCCAAAAGAGAGTCTGATCCTTATTGATATCTGATCTTTCTGATGATGTTCGAAATCTTGCAGTAGTTAGCAATCGAAAGCGACAGTGTGGTCTTGTAGAGGTCAGATGTACCCATATCATCAAACTAATGGATACCAGTTAATCCAGTTTTTACCACGAGTTGGTCGAGATGAAAATGGGCATCGACAAACATCAATGGTCCTGTTAATTTGGTTGAGAGGCATCCTATTGGTAACCCAAAGCGATATTTTTGTTCTTCGAAAGTTTGTATCAAATCCTGTTGTTCTACAGTTAATTTACTGATGCTTATTTTTAGAATTTTCCAATGTAGTAATGAATGTATGCATGTTTGGCCAAAGTTGTC